CCTTTCTGTTCATGCATTACTATTATTTATTGTTTTCACTAGCCAGACATTTTCTGCCCTTTTAATTTTCACTGTCTTCTTAGTTCTACTCGTTGACTTATAATGAAAAGGGCTTATAGTGAGAAGAGCTTAAACACCAGAGGAAGACACTTCTCCTGTCATTTGGGGAGAGCAGGCATATCTGATAGAAAACTCAGATCAAGAGGTTTTTTTTCTTCTAGAGTTCTTAAAAGGGAAAAACTGTACTGTTTTTATGACCAAAGTCCAGTCTGTTGAAGACTATACAGAACCTCGTACTCTCAGGAAACCACAGTACCTTCCAAATGCTTTTGTGCTAAATATGTGAACAAGCCCACCAGGCGCCACAGTGGTTTTCACAGTGTTCTCCTTGTCACACAGAGACACTGTGATTGGAGCCAGACCGGGAGGTTTGTACCCAGTGGTTGGGAACACACTTGGGTTCATGTTGGGTCCAGACATAAATCCTAGATGATGTTTAGGTTCAGTATGAAATAAACAGTATTTTAGGATGCAAACAGTCCAGGAGCCAGAATAATAAGAGAATGGAAAGGAAAATAAGGATGTGTTATCACACAGAAAAAGAGTCAGGGGAAAATAAAAGTTAAAAATCTGGATGTTGTCATCGGGGGCAAACAATGTTTCTCCGGAGTGAGCCAATCAGATTCCACCCACCCATTTTGAAAAAATAGTGTAAAATAAATCTTAAGAGTCAAGGTATTTTTTAATTGGCTACAAGAAAAGAATCAAGAAAAGGCTGTAGAATTTTTACGTAGCTATTACTTGATTAGAATAAAATTATTACTATCAATATATGAGAATGTTTTTGTCCTTGATGGGAATTCTTTGTCGGCCAAGAAAGCTAGTTTAGAAACTAAGCTCAATCTTTTGTTCCTAAAGATTTTATGCCAACTATAATGAAACGAAGGAACATTTGAAGGGGACGGGTTTTCATATGGAGAATACTAAAAGTTGCTCTGATGTCAATCACCGTGGTGGGCTTTACCTACAGGGCTCCTGACCAGGAGAGTTACTGCCCCCAGTGCTGACTCTGCATTCCCATTTCCCTGGAGCAGAGCAGGGAGGCGAGGAGGGCATGACCTGAAGATCGGGGTCAGTGTAAGATCATGCTGATGAGAAGGCAGTGCTTAGACACATCCTAATCCGTGAAGGCCACTTCTCACATGAGTGATTTCACTTCAAACCCAACACAGGGAAATTTGAACTATTATGTGGAAATATCAAGTGTCTCTTCTTGTCACCTATAGCTTTGGCCTAGGAAGAGCAATGTCTGCAAAATACCATTTGTTCCTTGTAGTCACACTTGCCCCTCTACTCAGCACACAAAAAAGGGGAGTAGGCTTACGATGTCACGAGAGAGAAGGCTGAACAAGGAACAAGGCCACAGGTGAGGTGAGATGTGCGACTGAACCCCAGGTTGAAGGCCTCCATTCTTGCGCTCACTACGAAGGCAGCAGGACTCCTTCCTGGAGATGCTCCCTCACTAGGCCACCTTCTCTGCAGAGCTCTGGGCACCTGGGCAATGCCCGGGAGGTGCCCGAGGGCTGCTGGTGATGATGTGATATCAGCTCCCGTCAGGCCCCCTGTTCTCCACCTGACCCCCAGCAAAGCAGCACAACACACCACCACTCCACCTGCCACCACCACTCCACCCGCCGACTGTGCTGCCCCGTGCTGATGGGGAGACCTCTGGGCATGGCGCAGTCCATAGGTCCTCCTGGGGGGTCATGCAGCAGTCACCACACACCAGTGCAGCTGCACTGTCTGCCCAGCACGCTCTCTGCCAGGGCTGCACACCCCTGCAGGCCGGAGGGTGGGCTGGGCCCACACGGCAGCTTCAGCCGTCAGCTCTGCCTGAAGCACTCATCCTCGGAGCCTGTTCTCTGAAAGTGGCATCTTCTCGACAGTTTCTGCTCCGCTCACTCCCCAGGTGTTAAGCTCCACCACCCCTCTGCCCAGCAGCTGGGGAAGGGATTCACACGATCGTTGGGAGGCTCTGCTTTCCAGGGGAAGTGAGGGCGAGGAGGGTTTCCTGGGCCAGGGCTCAGCTTCTGTGTGCGCAGGACTGTGTGTAACGCAGATAGAAATCCTAAACGACTGGCACAGCGTAGACACACAGCTCAGTACACGGTGGCCATTCTCACACCGCTATCATGGGTGGATACACACCTCAAGGAGAGGCCCTCAATGTGCAAGAGGGGCCTCTGTGATGAGACCCCTTGTGGAGGGTTAACACATCGACTCCTCGGACAAAGAGAAGGCACAGCAGCGGCCACCTCTCCTCTTTCACACACTGAACGTTGCAGGGGAGGCACAGCTCCACTGATGAAGTCGATGCAGATGTTTCAAACGTTCTGCACCTCCTACCTCACCCCAGGCTGACATAAATGACTGGCGAAGGTGGTGCTGTGATCTAGGAAGCTGGAGAGATGCAAGCAGATACACGAGTGTGTGTGGGAATGCAGCACAGATTGCAATAGTTTAAGCAGAAGCAGCTGTAAAACAGCTTGTAATCTTTGGGAGTAATGTGTTGGAGCTGTCAGCTGAGTGACTGCAACCACCAACGGTGCCCAAACATGGTAAAGTACTCTCGCCGGGGAGCGCCAGCCCCACGCGCAGTGCTGACACTGTCTGCGGCTCCAGGTCCGTCCTCACCGGCTGCTCTGCCTGTCAGGGCGGCAGGGGCCAGCCGACGGTTGTAAGCGTGTGTGCTATTTCTGTGCAGAGGATGTGTGTACGCACATGCCATAGTAAGCCAGACCAGGATGTGAGTCAGGTTGTTATAAAGTGGTAGAAAGGACTGATCTTCAAAGCACTCTGACAGCGTCCTGCCACGCTACACTCCTGTGAGGAGCTACAGTTTAAAAGACACAATGACTAAGCTAAGGAGAAATCCTGAAGAATATGGGTGATCAGAATTGACCAGAGGCCTACCTACCAATGAAAAGAGGTGGATAAGGTCGAAACTACAATCTGGGTCTTAAAACTTAAGAGGTAAAGAGAGAGATTTATTACCAGCAACCTTTATTTCTCCAGTAACTTTGGTCAGACACGTGGAAGTAGTGAAATGTGGGCAGCTGGGAAAAGCTCTGGGACATGTGTTTGCTTTATTTTCCTTTTAAAACAAAACATTTTATTTTCAGAGCAACTTTCACGGGGCCAGTTAATGGTCCTAAACTGGCTCTTTAAAAAGAGTCTTTTGGCACTGAGGTATAAAATACACAAAAGAGGAGGGGCAGGGGGGCCAAAAGGGGCCAATGGGAGAACAAAGGGGACATATGTAATACTTTCAACAATAAAAATTAAAAAAAAAAAAAAAAAGATACACAAAAGATTCCTACCATGTTACCTCCATTTGATGGAGAATAAGAAGCTATTAAGTGGAATAAAATAATCTGAATACACTGGCATGGAATGGTGTCTGCAACAGACTGTTACGGCAAAAATCATGCTGTAGAAAACATGCATAGTAATCACATTTCTGTTCAAAGTGATATGTTATATATGCATAGAAAGAAGTCTCCAAGGAGCCAGAGAAATTCATTAGTCAGTCATTTGTGACAGAGGGAGATTTTTGTACATCCTACTCATTGTTTAAATCCTGTACACTAAAGATTACTTTTATAACAGAAAATAAAACCAACCAAGATAGTTACGAGAGAAGAATAGTATTAACCTGACTTCGCTGTCAGTGTAATGTTCTCGGAGGCCTTAGGGGAGACTAATGGCCCACGAGTCCCTGGCCGGGGCGGTGAAGGCAGAGCCAGGCAGCCTGAGCGAGTGCTCGGTGAGCCCAGGAGGCTGCGGCCAGCACCCCTGAAATGCCAGGAGGAAGAAGGGCGTGCAGACCAAGGAAGCCCGTTACTTACCTGTATTGGGGCTCTTGCTTTTTAGTTCTTTGAGGGAGTTCATCGTGTGGCCGTGAACCGTGACCATGACCCCAGACAGGTCACACTGCTCAACCTCACCATGCCAGCACTCTCAACAGAGTCCCACTGACTGGCTGTTCTAGGGGTGGCGAAGTGAACAGTGATAGCAGCAATTCATCAGCTCCATCTTCTCCTCCCCAGCAAAGCCTGGAGGAAGTAGGTTTAGTGGCCAGGCCAGGATAAAGGGAACGTGACCTATCTCTGTGGCCACAGGAGTCCATCATGGTGTCCTCCCAGTCAGGAATTTTCTTTCTCTAAGTAAATCGTGTCCTCTGGTCTGCCCCGGATACCCCCTTTTCCAAGAGGGTGTGAGAGAGAACAGGCCCCTCTGTTTAACCACAATGCACGGGCCTGCAAACAGTTACTGCCTCTGCCTTGTTTCCTGAAGGCTGAAGCCACTCAGAAACCACTGCTCTTCACAGTCATTTTCTATTCTTCAACAGTCTCCTCTGAATACCAGTCAGTCAGTCAGTCGGTCTCTCCTTCCCACGCCAGCCGCCCTCAGATTCTGGCTCAAGTGACATCCTCTGGGGAGCCTTTCCCAGCACCCTGCAGCCAGGTCAGTCCCCTTATACCTGATATACAGCCCCCATCTCAGAGTGCTTATCCCAGCTCGCATTTCCATTTTCTTCGTAAAAACTTAATTAACATCTGTCTTACTCAACATAAACTCTTCAAGGGCAGAAACTGCACCTGTGACTCCCAGTGACAGGACAGTGTCTGGCACCAAGCACACAGCAGAAAACGCTTATTCAAGGCAAGGATGCTGAGGGAGCAACTGGGTGGGATATGTGTCAATGGGGGAGGGAGAAAGAGAAGCTGGAAAGCGCCCCCTCCTTCTGGCCCCCTCCCCAGCTGTCATTAGCTTGCCTGCTTATGATTGGTTAGCCAGACTCCTTGGTTATTTCTTAGGGCCCCTTCAGCTCAGGACCCTGGGCTGCCCAGGGATGCTGGGGTCCTGGGGAGAATACACCAGGGATGGAAATCCTCTGCCAACAGCACTGGGTGGGGCAGGGCGGCAAGGGCACTGACCTCGGCTGATGCGCTGCTTCTCCCCAGACAGGATGCCAGGGCTGTCGATGATGCTGATACTCTTCAGGACCTGATTGGGCAGCTGGGAGCACATGAATCTGGAAGCAAAAGACCAAAGGTGGGATCAGAACTGCACTAGAGACTGTGCCAACGGCAGAGCTCCTTGGCCTTTCGGGGCTGCTGACATCATCCGCTGTGAAGTGGGGCTTGCAGGGGACTGATGGGACCTCCATTGCGGCTACCTGCTACCAGACTCCTTACTGTTCACTGTGATTTACACCAACATTTATTGAACACTTAGATATTTTACATCATCATCTCAGTTGCTCCTCATACTAACCGCAGGAGGAAAACATTACTCTTAACCTCAGAGAGGTTAAGTATCTTGCTCAGAGTCACTCACAGCTGGGCCTTCCCCCAAAGCCTGCCAGCTTCACCTGTACCTCCTCCAGGCTGCTCCTTGGTCAAGCATCTGGGTCTTCTTTCCCAGGGGGATCCCAGGTACCAATGGGCTGGAATGTGCCAAGCTCCTGCCAGGCCCTGCCCGATCCCTAAAGTGACCTTAGAGCTACTGGGGCCTGTTTTCACTGTGTGATGGCCAGGACTCAGCACCCAGCCTGACACTTGCTATGGCTCCAGGCTCAGGGTGGGACAGGCACCTGTGGGCAGCTCCCCAAGTTCTCCAGGGGTTTGAGTCCTAGGGGTACCCTATAAGCACATGGAGGGGCGGGGGGGGGGGGGGGGGGCTGGCCAAGCTTCTCCAAGCCTCCTTCCTTGTCCATCACTTCCCTTCCTCTCCTGCTTTCCCTCCTATGGTTCTAGTCTGCTGTCCTGGCGTAGGCCTCATGGAAGTGGAGTAGAGCGGCAGGAAAACTGTGGCCGGGGTCAGCAGACCTGGGTTCAGGGTCAGTTCAGCTGCTGCCAATAAATTGCTGTGGGGCCTGGACAAGGACTTCCCCCTCTGCAACTCAGTTTCCTCATGGGTAACTGGAGACACTTGGACCAGGGCGGGTGAGTCTTTTTAGCTCTAACACTGTCTAACTCTAAAGTACTAGAGGGAAAGGCTGTGTTCCATCCACCCAGGCAACAGAGCCCGAGGGGGATCTCTTAAAAAAAATCTATATCTATATCTATATCTATATCTATATCTATATCTATATCTATATATCTCTATCTATCTATCTATCTATCTGAGGCCTGGTGCATGAATTCGTGCATGGATGGGGTTGGGCCAGCCTGGCCAGGGGGAGGGGACATGGGCAATTGGCCAGCCTGCCTGCTGGTCGAACTCCTGGTTGAGGGGACAATTTGCATATTAGCCTTTTATTATATAGGATTATTATATAGGATATACACTGAGTGGCCAGATTATTATGTGCTCAGAAATCATAATCTGGACATTCAGTGTGTGTGTGTGTGTGTGTGTGTGTGTGTTATATTAATTTCAGTGAGAAAAGGAGAGGTGAAAAAGAGAGAGAAACATCGATGACAGAATCATTGATCGACTGCCTCCTGCATGCTCCCCCTGGGTACTGAGCCTACCCCCCAGGCATGTGCCCTGACTGGGAATCGAACCATGACTTCCTGGTTCATAGGTTGACTCTTAACCACTGAGCCACTTCAGCCGGCCCAAGGGGGACCTCTTTTAGGCACTGGGTATGTTTTCAGATAGAAATGGTATGGGGACAGGAAGGCTCTCTGTCGTCTATATTGTCAGCGCTAACTTCTGGATCTGTGGGGGCAGAAAGCTGAAACCCTTGGTGAAAGCTCAATTCTTCCGTTCAGTGGAACTGGTGGGATTACTCAGAAAGTAAATATGCAGGGAATGCAGGACAGGGGGGCCTGCCCAGCTTCACGCGCTCTGGTGGACAGCACAGAGGGCAGGCTGGGGTGTGGCCGGGCGGGCGGGGTGGGGGGGGCCAGCCCTGAGCCTTTGCTTAACTACTGTCCTTTCTTTTTTTTTCTTTTTTAATATTTTTTTGATTTTTTACAGAGAGGCAGAGAGATAGAAGAAGAGGGAGAGAGGGATAGAGAGTTAGAAACATTGATGAGAGACATCGATCAGCCGCCTCTTGCACACCCCCTACCGGAGATGTGCCGTAACCAAGGTACATGCCCTTGACCGGAATCGAACCCAGGACCCTTCAGTCTGCAGGCCGACGCTCTATCCACTGAGCCAAACCGGTTTCAGCCTACTGACCTTTCAAAATAACTTTCTTTGAAGGTGCTCAGGACAAGTTTGTCATACATTCTTTCCTAGATTTTCAAGTCAGCCTGGGATGATGTAGGAAAGATATTACGAGCATTCTGTAGCTAGAAACGCTGAAGCACAAAGCAGCTATGGCATCTGGAGGTCATGCCCCGAAGGCAAGGCTGGTTGGAGTGCAGCCTAATGTTCTGATGTCGGTTGAGTGGAACTCAACCCATAATGTTAAAGACCTTACAATGTGAAAAATAAAGGGCACGTTAACTTAAGAGAAGCCCCTCATTTCCGATTCTTCCTGCCCCTCCTGCCCCTCCACCTTTACGTAAACCCCACTGCCACCGCTTGGAGAGCTCTGTGAGAATGAAGTGCACAGGGACCCCTGAGCCTTCTTTGTAGGCTCAGTGAGAAACGCCACAGTCAGAGCTCTAGCATTGGGGCAGGAACGGAGTTCTGAGCACATCTGTGTTGAACCACATTTCTTGTCAGCAGTGATTCAGATTCTTATCATAGTCCCGTCCTTTCTAGGAGGTGGTTGGAGGCAGCTGGCAATCTGGAAAAAGTGCCCATATGTGGAAAAGCATTCCTGGGAGAAGCTGACCTTTTCCCCAAAACTACTTAATATCAGTATTTCCAGAACACAAAATCCCTGGATTCTGCTGTAAAGTTAGCAGAGGGACTCAAAATTTCCACTCCCTCATGTGCAAAGTGACAACATTTCAGCAACTTCTTTGGCTCCTGACGCATCCGCAGAGGCAAAATGTATGAACCACAAAATAAGATGCAGTCAGATATAATGAAGTTAACACACAATAAACAGGGAGAGGGATGTGGGCCAAGAGGGGTAACTGCAGAAAAAAGGAGGAGGGGAAAGAAGGGAGAGGGAGGGAGAAAGGAAGGGGAAGGGAAGCAGGGAGTGGGAGAGGGAGAGGTGGGAAGACAGGGACCTGGAGGAGAGGGGGAAGGAGGAGAAGAGGGAAAGATGGAAACATCGCAATTCAAGGAGGAAGAGAGAGAAGGAAGAGGGGGGAGGGAAAGAAAAAGAAGCTCTCCAGGGGCACCCAGAGAGGGGTAGTTGGGATTGTGTCCAAATCTGATCTCCACTCCACAGAAGAAAGAGTGTATGGAGTGGATTAGAGGGGTTGAGGCGGGGGTGGGGTGGGGGTGGGAATGGGGCACAGAACACAAGTCAGCTTTTAGACCCCTTGTGCGGGTGACTCATACTCTACAGGTTAGAACCACACACACCTTTTCTTGAACAACTGTAATCAGAAGAAAAAAAAAACCCCAATGCAATGCTGTACAACAAACCTGCCTTACTTTTATGCTCTAAGAGAAGAAGATGAAAAGCAAGGTTATTTGTTGGGTAGGACGTCGTCAGCCATGGCTCAGGCCTCATGTGTGTCTGTGACATGTTTCCAAGCACAGACTTCCTGATCCTTGCTGGAGTGACTAATATCCATTCCTTGCCTTGAAGTGTATTCTTTCACGTTTCATAGGATTGAACTTGCAACTCAGGCACATGCTCTTGACTTAGAATTGAACCTGAGACCCTTCAGAGTGTGGGGCCCATGCTCTATCCACTGACCCATTAAGCCAAGGCTTGCTGATCAACATTTTAAAAGAACCAGGCAGTACCTTAATACTGCTTTTGGTTTCCAAACAGCGCAGTGACATCTATAGTTAACTCACTCAATCCCCACCACAACCTCAGAGGGAGGGGCTTTGTATCATTTTACCGAGGAGACTGGGGCACAGATCATAACCTGTCAAGTCACATGGCCTGTAAGTGATGAGCTGGGATGCTAACCTGACAGTTCCAACTCCAAAGTCCAGGTTAACCACTAGCCTGCTCCTACCATCTCATGCATTTGAACCACAGCTGTGTACGTTTATCACACAGAAGGCAACATCCTACAGCAAAGAAGTGACATGCCCTCGTCCTGCACTCCCCACTGAAGAGGCTCCTGCATGTGACTTGTTCTGCACCCACGGATGCAGGGTGGAGCGGTAAACAGCAGGCAGATGATCCTGGCTCTGGTCTTCCTCTTGCTCACACATCCTGTGACCCCCTGCAGTCTGAGAACTCCCAGGCTGTCATTAGGTTCAAATAAGCCGAAGCTTCCATGGAGAGGCCATGGAGCGATTTAAAAGCACCTCCTTTACCAGCTCACTTTACCGATTAAGAGTAGGATCAGAGAGATTACACAAATTCCCATTTACTAGTACAGTAAATAGCAATCAATATTCAAAAAGACTTTGACAACTAACCTGTAATAATTGTATACGGTCCTACAGCACACATATCTGATCTAAGGAAAAACCCCTAATGCAAAAAACCTTCTACTGCCAGCAGAAATTTATTTTAAATCCACACTATAAAAAGCCAAAGGATACCTACCCCTAGATCTTACGGAATTATCATTTTTACAAGTAGTAAAAGATGGTTGAATATTGGTCATTTCAAGTGGTGCAACCTAAATATGTCCTTTTCTAAATAAATCGAGCCTCACTGTTATGGGGGACAGGGGGAGGCCGGGTGCAAGGAGCCAGGCAGAGCCAGTGCCGGAAAAGTCTGCTTGAGCCCAGGCAGTAAAGCTGGTTTTCTGGAATGTCGGACCAGGACTGTACAGGCAGCCAATAAAGAACAATGGGTTCATGACCTGGGAGCCACCGATCCTGAGGTTAAAGACTAATGGCAAGAGCTTCAGGGAGTTTATTATGGACAAGCACAGCACATGCACAAAGACCAATTAATAAAAAACAATCTCTTGATGGTGAATCAAGAGTGATTCTTGGCAAGAGCTTATTTCCCATAATCTCTGTAACTAAATTAGCTGGTGGAACCAGCATGTGTCTGGCCTGACTACATATTTATATTAAATCTGTTTTTAT